ATAATCTATTCTTGTTTCCATAGCAGAAGACGGCCTTAGACTTTGTGGCGGGAGAGTTCTTACCGTAGACAAACTATAGTTAATAATCAGCGGCTAGTTCTATTATAGTTTCGTTTACTTCTGTACGATTCAGGAACGATGATTATTGGCCATTGAAATGGTCTACGGGTGGCGTAGAGCAGAATCCTCTACCTATGGCAACACTTCGCCTGCTTTCACCATTGTAGCGTGCGGAGAGTCATAGGAGAAGGAGTACGTTAGTTTCTGTCTTGATTTTCAACAGGTTTAGAAACTTTTAAGTTAGGAAACTGTATGGAACTAAAAACTACATTGAAGATAGTTATGAAAATAAGAGTAGGAGAAAATTTAAAAAAAAACTATTTGTGGCAATTAAATGCGAAAAATATTAAAAAAAGGAAAAAATATCGTAGTACATTTCTATACAACTGAAAAGAGAGGGAAGGGGGGAGGGTCAAGATGTGCTATCGTGAATAATTACCGCATTGACGGATAATTCTCGATGTGCTTAGTTTTAAAATTTTGTTTTTTCTTGCTTTATTCCAATAAAAAATTTTGAACAAAAATAGGATTACATAAATTTATGTTCATATTTAAAATGTTTTTCTTGTTATGCATATACATGAGAACATAAATTTTTTTGATCAATTCGAAATCTTTTATTTCCGCATTTAGTACTTTTATACGTAAAAAAGTATTTCTGCCCTTTTTCTTTTATTAACTCCTATTTTATCTGTCATAAAATAAATACTATAAACAGACAAAAAATCTACACTAATCTAAATTCTAATTATTTTAAAAAGGAGATAAAAATCTTAATTTATCTCATTTTTAAAATAAGTAATGGTGCAAATCGTCCATATAAATATGTATTTTACGACAAGAAAAATGGAAAGAAATTTAAATATTTAAAACAAATCATAATTTGCTTTACAAAATGCACTTTTGTCAAACGATATTGATAACAAATTTGCTTCCAATATTAATAATAAAAAATAGCCTTATGATAAAAAAGAATTTATAAATTCTATTCTAAAGATTAAAAAGAATTTATAAATTCTATTCTTTACAATCTAGTATTTATTGTAGCGTGGCGCTGAAACTGTTTGGACGAGAAAGAAAAAGTGTGGAAACACTTTATATGATTAGAATGACAGACAAACATGAATCAGTTATAAAAATTAGATGGTATGAGCATTATTTCGTGGATTAAGTTTCTATTTTTTCCGTTAAAAAAAATTGTTCGCGAAGATTTTATTTCATTCGATGAGCGATTCAATTTATGAGTAATGTTGGCGTAGTTATGATTGGTTACCAAATTTTTAGCCTTTTTGCCGTAGATTTTTCTCAGTATTTTATTTTATAATCGTCGTTGAACAGCAATTGTTTGGGTTTACGACTGCTAATGTTCAATTCCATAGCCTAGTAATTTTTTACCCAATCCAGAAGACAAGGGAACTCCTGGTTCAAGTATTTTGAGAAAATTGCCTTCGTAGTGGACTTTTTGATGGAATTAACCCGCGTGTGCGTTATAGGAAGAGAAAAACCACGAAAACCTCTTCCGGTTAGTTCGAAGGTAAGGAGACTCTAAGCTATGATCCGTCTACCACTGAGGATATTTTACGTCAACGTTGTGGTTTGTGAAAGTCGGTTGCGGAATTCGTATCGACCAGCCATCGCTGGGATTCGAACCCGGCTCACCTTTCTGGCAAGTGAACGCTTTATCCCCTGATTTCTAGTCCTCAGTGTAATCCCTATTCTCAGTGTCAGTTCTTTAGAAATTATTATTTTTATTATTATTAATTCAAACATTTTAGGCTACTTATCTGTTATAAGAGCCATGAAGCAAATTATCTTCATCTTTATTATTAATCAAATTATTTATCTTAACAATCAAAGATTATACAATTCGATAAAATCCTTATCTTGAGCCAAGATGGCTTAGGGGATAGAGCGTCCGCCTCCCAATGAGATGAACCGAGTTCGAATCCCAGCGCTGGTTGGTCGATACGAATTCTACACCCGATTGCACCGAGCAAAGTGCTGACGTAAAATATCCTCAGTTGTAGACGAATCATGGGAGAGAGTCCCCTTGCCGTGAGGCTAACAGTGAGAGGTTTTCCTCACCATATTAGTTCATCAAAAAGTTTTCCACGAAGAAAAATTTCTCCCAATACTTGATCCAGAAGTTCCCTTGTCTTCTGGATTGAATTTAAAGTTACAAGACGAAGGAGTTGAACATTAGTAGTCGTAAACTCGAAAAATTAGGTCGGCTGCTCAACGATGGTTATAAAATAAAACCTTTTTATCTTTATCTATAATATAATGTATCAAAAATAATATCGCGAATATTATACATAATGATAATTAATAACTGCTATATTAATGTAAGTGTTGGTAAACTTTTTTGCAATATAAAGTAATTTGTTGGGTCCAATGTAAAAAAATACATAAATTTGTAAAATATCGCAATATATCGTTAAATTTCGATATTCTTTTAATACTACTTCGTGATAATGACATTCATATTTATAGGATAATAGAGATCAATATTCATGTTGGCGACTACTTGGAAAAACCGTTGCTAACACGCCAACGCGCATTGTTCTTATTATTTATAAGTACCAATTTTAGTTTTACCTGCACATCAGAATGTATTGTCATTATTTTTAAGTCTTACGCAAGCAGGTTTGGATTATTTATTTGTATAGCGGTTGTTAAAACATTTTAAAACAAGTGTATTAAATTAAAACTAAAATATTGCTTCAAACGTGTAACATTTTAGACAAAAAGCGTAAAAATTAAAGGATATGAATTACGTGTTAAACTAAAATAGGACAATGCTGGCAAAAAAACGTCTGCCCTAAATAACCTTAAACTCATGTAATGGATTTTCTCAATATGCGCATATGATTTGCAGGATTTTCTTAAATTTGCTAACATTCATAACTTCCTATATGTTCACTCTTAAAGTTTTAAAATCTATATAATCAGTTATCTAAGCAATTATTTCATCCATATTAAATCCCTTTGCATTAGATACTTAATTTGAAACAAAATTATAAGAAAAACAGTTTATTCGGTATGTAAAATACTTATTGCTCGGTCATTATGGTTTTACTACTTAATGAAACGAAACATCAACAGGATTGATCATTAAAACTAATTACTCCCACTGCTGGAAAGAAAGACTCCGATGACTAGAACGATGACGATTACATTTCTCGGTAAATCGGAAGATAGCTCTTAAGAAATAAATTAAAAAGGCAAAACGAGAATTTCAAAGTTAATTTAAACATCGTTATTTGAGTTCTTACAAGAGCATATTTCATGAATTAATATTCTATTTCGATTCATTGAAATAAAATTAAAAAAAAAAGAAAACTTTATATATTTCGATCTAATGTGATCACGTACTGGAATTCGATTTTGATGATTCCAAGGTCTAGTAATAAACACGCAATTTAGTGCAGACGATATTTTAAGCGACTAAATCAGACCCCAAAACCCACTTCTTCTGAGTAAATATGGCTGATTTTTAATGTATTTAAATTCCTTTTCCTCAAAATATGACGAGATTGCCGCAATCTGGGCCAATATTTTAGGCGGTAGGCAGTTTAATCTCCTTAATATTAATTTCTATTTTCGTGTTTCGCCGTATCTCTGGGATTAATAAAATGATTTAACTGATTTCAGCAAGCTATTATTAATCTTGTTTATCCGAAAATAATTTACACATCATATCAGGTGATGGATGATAATTTTTAAAATTTTGTTTCTAAATTTCGTTCCACAACTACTTATTTATTAAAATTGTGTAAAATTTGAAACAGCTCATGGATTGATTTCGATGCATTTAACAACTTACTACAGCAAAGCTCCACATGATACAAAATTTAACTTTTAAGTAATTAAGATGGACGCAAAGCTATAATAATTCTTAAAATATCTTTTGCATTAAGGAACTTAATATATTAATTCAAAATCAAAATGGCAAGGCATTTTTAAATGAATTATTACATTGATAATTGGTAATTATTTATAATAATGAGTAAGTATAAATTTTTACGCATTCATTTTAACCACCTTACTTTATTATTATTAACTATAATCGGTGATTATTAGTATTAACCGTAACAAAAGTTGATATAAAAATGTCGTTTGCACAAATTAACGTGCATATTATTAAAAGTTTGGTTTTCGAATCATTCAGTTCTAGTACGCGAATATCCGATCATTTGATCAAAATTTATTCAATTGTTCTCTTTTTTGCGCTCATTGTGTACACATAGTATTTCATAATTACCACCCTTAATATAATGTTTTTAGATTCTTTGTAAAAAAAAACAGATATATATTGCGCAATAAGGGCATTAAATATTAATTAATTTATTTATTATGCCAAACATTTGTTCCTTAAGCCTCAGCCTAATACTTCTGAACGATATACGAGGGCAGTTTTTTAAGTTAAGGTCCGTTTGAAAATAAGAACCAAACGAATGAAAATTTTAATGAAGCAATTTATTTTTTAATTCTTAATACGTTTCTCACTTTTTCTTAATAGTTGTTAAGAGCCGAGAGGGCTCAGGGAATAGAGCGTTCGCCTTTCAATGAGGCGAACTGGGTTCAAATCCCACTCGATACGAATTCCGCATCCGACTAGCACCGACCACAGTGCTGACGTGAAATATCCTCAGTGGTAGAAGGATCATGGGCTAGAGTCCCCTTGCCATCAGGCTAACCGTGGCAGGTTCTCGTGGTCTTCCTCTCCATGTAACGCAAATGCGGCTTACCTCCCTCAAAAAGTACTCCGCGAAGGCAAACTTCTCCCAATACTCGATCCCTTGTCTTCTGGATCGGGTTCAAAATTACAAGGCTACGGAGTTGAACATTAGTAGTCGTAAACTCATAAAATTGGGTCGGCTATTCAACGATGGTTATAAAGAAAATAGTTGTTAAGTTTGCTTAAACATCTATCATACCTTGCTACTAGATTTAGAATACCCTCATCATAGTAACTTGCCGCCTGCTCCGATAACCAAGAGGTCAAGATCTTTTTTACATCTTCGTCATCGTTGCACTGATTGCCGCAAAATGTTTGAAGCATCGGAAAAGATGAAAATCACTTAGCGCAAGGTCCGGTCTGTATTGAGGGGTGGTCCAAAACTTCCCAGCCGAAAGAGTTCAATAAAGATCGGAACTAAGCTGTGGAGAGAGTCACTGTCATGGAGTAGCAAAATTACCTGTCGGCATGACAGTATGAAGCTTCCTAAACTTCACTAATCTGTATGCGAATGTACGCAACAGACAAGTTTCTTGACCACTAAAACGCATCACTGACCGTACCTCATACGTGGAGGGCGATTTGTTGAATTTAAACATTTTAAAAACACAGAACTGACGGTGCAGGTTACCTGCACAGCTGTAACAGACCACAGTTGTTCCCTAGGAAGGCCAGGACATGACGCAAGCACGCTTTCCGACTCAATGGTCGCCTATTACGGCATGCAACAAAACGGCCCTTACTTAAAAAACAGCCCTCGTATGTCTAAAAATTGTTAATTGTCGGAAATTTGCTCACAGTGACATAGATTGGAGACTCATTTAGATCTGTTATTTAAATATTTAATGGTTCGCAATACATTTTTTCCTGGAATAGTCATTAAATCATTTTTTTCGATGCCCCATTGAATGAGTGTTCCGATAGCTCAGTGTCTTACTCCGCTGGTTGGGTAGTGAGTTCGATGTTGGCAATTGAATAAACGGTACCTGTAGTATTACATGATGTTACAAAGGTTTTTCTTTTTAATGCCACCAGATGGTGCTCTATGTGTTTTCAATTGTGTGTGTTTTGTATCTTGCTAATAAATGTTGCTTCGCCCTTGGTTCTCTAGCTGGGAGTCAACAATATTACAGTACCTAAATTAATGAAGTACCTCTCTTTTAAGAACAATGCATTTTTACAAATATATATATATATATATATATATATATACGAGGGTTGTAAATTAAATAGTGGCAACTTAACCTTGAAACTCACAGAAGGGCGGGCATGCGCAAATTGGATACGGGAGCGGTGAGGTGGCGCTGTTGTCGATGTGTAGAGTGCAAAAAAAGGTCGATTTGCTTAGAAGGGTAGTTGTTGTGTGGCGTTAAAGTGAGGAGTTTCGTTTCCATCGCTCTAAAGCATGTTTTCAAAAGATGATCAGCGGTC